TTTAAATATTTAATAAAATTATTTATTTTTCTAGATTAAACGTACTATTAATAAAGCCATTTTTTTAGTTTTAAAATAATTATATTTAATAACAAATATATTTTAGGATTACAGTAAGTAATTCATGTAAAAAGTACAACCATTATTTAAATGAATAATTGTTCAGTAGTGTAAAAGTGTATGAAAGCAAAACAAAAGTTCTATAATCATAATTGCTTAAATATATTATTTTTTATTAATTATAAAATTTAAAATTTGAATATTTTATTATTATTGTAAAACATTTAATTTATCAATTAAAAGTTTAATARATAKCTCAAAATGTAATGACGATTGACTAAATAAGTAATTTTAAATCAATAGACATTAAATATAAAAGTGCATATTTATATATTGCTAAAAATCGATTTAATAAATTTAAAAATAATAATTTATTATWATCCTGCTGTAAGACTGGAGTAAAACCAGTGTCTAACTACTCAAATCAAATCTTGGACCTCAAATCATTTTTTTAATTTTTTATTTATTAAACCTTCATAATATTCATTTCAACCTAATTCTATCATCGAATTGTGAATAATTTGTAATTGGTTTTAATGTTATATAAATTGTACATAAACTAAAACTGTAATACATTAATTAAAGTAAATAAAATATCAAAATCAGTGTTTTTAGTATTTGTAATCATTTTTAGATATTTTATGTCACCGGAGTTTCAGTTTCATGGAGTTCACCTAGTGCAATATACTCATCAATAAACAGCCAATCGGTAAAAATTGATTATATTTGATTGCTATTATACCTAACAGTGTATACTCTAATAATATTATTTTTGTATATGTAAGAAAATTGTGATCAGGATAACATACACAACATTCAACTTTTCTTTGAAAATTCTATCGACATTTAAAAATAAAATAGACCAAAAACTTATAACTGAGAAAGTATTTCAGATAGTTAAAAATGAMGTTTAATAGATTTATYGTAAAAGTGTGAGATCGTATTTAAAAAAATAGTATTTTCTTTATTTAATGTTGAATTTTTACATTTCAAGGTACCAACATATAATGGAAATTCACATCAAGAGTCTATGTTTTCAACAATGCAACCTTATAAAATGTCAGGAGATGCATTAACAAGGCAAATTAATAATTTGAATACTAGAATTTCATCTAACATGGATTTGGGACAGATTTCWAATAAGATTAATGCAAAACAAGTTGATCAACAGGAAAATAACATTGATGATAATATGTCGGAAAATATAATTACTAATATTCGACCTTCTGATATGAGTTCTAGCTCATCAATATCTTCAACAAAAATTTCAAATTTTGAAATTTCAGTTCATACTAATTTACCTGGATCATCAAATACTTACCATGAGATAAGAAAAATTAATGATATGAATCTTTAAAATGAAGTGAATAATTTGGATGGCTTTACTCGCTCAGATGTTTTTTTGTTTTCAATTAGGAGAGTTTGATGGATTAAGTGGCCCGATTAGTGAGAATGGTTTGRATTTAGTAGATAGCCTTGATGGATTWAATGAAAAATATGAAAATACTTTTCGTGAAAAATATAGTGGTGGAATYGGAGAAAATKAAATGCATATATTAGGTAAAGTGAACAAACATGGAAGAGGTCAAAAATCTAGAAAAATTAATTTGAGTAGTGGAAATGGTGAATCTACAGAATTTAATTCAGAAGCTGGAAATGGCGATAAACAAGGATTTATTGGAGATGGAGAAACCATTGAATTTAGTGAATTGAATAGAAATGAAGGAGGCAAAATG